TCTCAGCAAGCTCCAGCCAACCGAAAGGTTGCGCCGAAGTCGCTTTCTGCTAGTGGTGACGGACTCAGTCACATCCCTTGGGCGACAGAACTCCAAGGGGCAATGGAAATTCTCCATTCCCGAAGAGGAGATCTTCATGGCAGCACTGACCCTCAGGTACACGTGCGATAAACTCCACATGTGCTGGGGAAAAACGCTTTCGTGGCTCACTTGGCAGGTGCAGGAGGAGATCCAGGCAATCCGTGCCAAGTATGGGTCGGAGTGCGAGATCGATGTGATCGTTTGGTGGTCAGGAAATGAAGTTGCTGGACGACGAGGATGCATCCCCACGCGGCTCGCTCCGGGCGCGGCATATTCGACCTCCCAGACCTCGGCAGAAGATGTTGCGAGGAAGGTGAGGCGCTGCGCCGACGCGCTAGCCACCCTAGCGGGTGAGCCGCATATCGGGTTTGTCCGCATCGTCGGCAACGTTGACCACGAGACCTACAACTTGCATCCTGCGTACAATGAATTCATCTCCAAGATGTTTGATGAATTCACGAGTCGCGGATTGCAAGTTCAGAACGCCACATCCCAGGCAATGAAGCTGTCCTATTACGATGATTTTCATCTTTGGGATACCCCCGAAAACCGCAAGCAGATCCAAGACTACATCTACACCACGGCGCTCCTTGGCGACCTAGAAAGGGAAGCGTCACGGTATGCAGATGTTCTGGATCGACTAGGAGATCTTTTCCCCTACGTCGAGGTGGAAGGCGGCTACAGGATGGACAGTGCAGCAGGTCGTGAAGCCCTACGCCTCTACAAGGAGGTGGTTGAAAGCGGCAGAAAAGACCTGAAGGTCCACAAGATCAAGGCGCCTGTGCCCGTGAAGATCAGCAAGGAAGACACCTGGTGGGAGGTCCCCGACGCTAACACTGCGCATGAACCAGTTGCCGCACCCGCTCAGCAAGACAAGACGATCGCCCGATCCGAGGTGGAATACCCTGTGGTTTCGGACGTATCGGAGATCGATGAGGTCAAGGGTGAAGTCGTCCAGGCCGAGTCAGAGAAGGCTGAGTACCTTCCCCTGAACGAGGTCGTGCTCGCCGATGATGGGGATTACCGACCTCCCCTGGCGTCAGACGGCCGGGCAACAAGCGCAGCTACCCGAAAGGGTAAGTCGTCGGGGCAAAGCGAGGATGTCTACGCCCGCGAGATGTACCAGGACGCGTCCAAAACCCATGGTGGAGAGGAAAGCCTGGAGCAGGACCTCCCGATGACCGGTTACTGGTACAACGGGGAGCTCCACGACCTTGAGCCTCTGCCAAGTGCCGATCTCCGCAAGTATGAACAGCGGGTGAACTTCAGGCACGGCGACCTCAAGCTGCTCAGCTTGCTCTTGAGGGGACACCAGAATGACTGGTGTGGGCTGGACTTCGACATCGCCATGTGGACGGATGTCGATAAGCTCCTGGACCGCTTCAATGAAGCAACTCGTCGAAAATGGGGCGTAAGACAGCTACTGCAGGTGACAGCGCAGGACAAAAAGAGGAGGTTCGAGATTCTTGGGATCCGACACGAGATCAGCAGCAGCCTGAATCTCTCCCTCTTTCCTGTGCGGATCAGAGCAGTCACCGGCCACTCGGAGAAAGTGATGCGCATCGAGTCAGACGAGTTCCTTGCCCGGAGGTTTCTCACCGATGAGAATTTGGATGTCGCTCCACAGGTCGTATACCACCGCACGGATGCGAAGAGCGTGGAGTTGATTTTGAAATCCGGGATCAAGGTTGCTGGCGGCAGAAAGGGCGGGCGTGCCCATGCGTACTTCTCACCTACCACCCTCAAGGACGAGAAGTACACTTCTGGACTCAGATCGACGCAGCCGTTCCAGATTGCGGTGAACCTGCATGAAGCCCTCCGAGATGGCCTCGTCTTCTTCGAGAACAGTACCCGCGGGATTTTGACCCGTGCAGTCGTTGGCCCTCAGTATATCCTGTCATGTGTGGACACCAACACGAACAAGGTGATCTACGCAAGAGCGGGAGAGGCCCAGCCTGCAGCCACCCGAGAGGGTGAGCCGGATACTGTTGAACAAGCCTCCTCGAGCTCAACAGTCAAAGCCTTGGCGTCAAGGGCTGTCCCAGAAGACCAACCCAAGCGAGTCAAGGGCACTGTTGGCGCTTTCATCGAGGCAAAGAAGGCGAGGATCGAGGCTGCTGCGTTGGAATCCATTGAAGAGCAAGACGAGGAATCGGTGGATGACCAAACGCAGCCTGCACAGGAGGTATCCGACACGGAAGAGGCAGAGAGCGACAGCGAAGCCCCATACGGGAGCTATCCATGCTCGGCCTGCCAACGCATCGTCCTGCTTGGGCAGCGCTTTTGCATGACATGCGGTGAAAACCAGTTCCCGGAGTCCAACAAGGCAAGCCGTCAGTACTCCTCGTTCCAGCAAAACCGTCGCACCACACTCCTCAAGCTGACGTACAATGCTCGGAATGACGATCTCCTGGGACACCTCCGTGGCATCGCAGAAAAGTTCAGCAAACAGCGGGGCTCAGTCTCCCTGGATGCGCTGATCATACGCGATGCCAAAGACAAGTTCCAACGTGCGAGAAAGCTCAAGTTCGACTCCATTGCTGATCGGTTGGAACGTGATGCCACCTTCTTCCTGCAGATGATGAGGAACGGAATCACGGTTCAGGATGCGTGCCGAATGGACCTCCTGGTGAAGGCCGTGCTCCCGGACCCAGGCCGCACAGAAGAGCAGCGGCTTCTGCAGGCGGGGTCGAACTACCTCAGCGGAGCTTCCCGAAAGGGAATGCCGGGCAAGTTGGTTTACTATGGCGATGCGCCAATGGATGGCCTAAAATCGGCTGGACTGATTGACCAGTTCTCCGAGAACCCCATCGGGATGGCCTACGGCGGCGCCTTCATCGGCTTCAGCTTCTATGCCGATATCGCCGCCCGCTTGTCCGGTGCCCGCACGATCTACAGCTTCAACGGCATTGTGGAAATCAAGCATGATACGCCGGAAGGCATGATTGCCGAGCTGCAAATGCTGGCAGCCGAATGCATCCACTCTGCCGAGGAGCAGGAAAGAATCACCGCCTACCACGCCGCCAAGAATCGAGAGACGGCACAGCAGCGAACGGAGGCTGCCACTACTACCCGTACATCGACGCAGAGCGCCTCATCAAGGGACACAGCTGTTCGTGAAGCACCCTGGCATCAAGGGCAAGAACAGTGGTGGTCAGACCGTGAATGGCGCGAGTGGCGTGAATGGCGTGAGCCAGCTAGCCAGGGTTGGGGCTCATCCCGCTGGAGCAGTCAGCGCGGATCGCAGTGGTGGAGCCGCTGAATGCCCACTTTGTATGCACTATAGCTCAAGTTTTGCTTTCCCTTCACCTTTGTTTCGGTCACAGCGGGTGGGACAACACGGGCCACCCGAAAGGGTGTGTCGTAATCCTCTGTCCACCTTAGCTTGTGCCAAGCACGGTGAGGGGGGTGTAGTTTTTCATGGAGGAATTACACTCCTTTTGCGAGCTGTGCATACTATCGCTTTACCCTTGACTGTGGCTCAAGTTGCCGATAAAAAGAGGCGTACTTAACGGTTTATATGTTCCCTCATGTGCTGACCTGAAAACTTCAGGGTCTATAGGGGTGTAGGGTTCAGGGTTCAGGGTTCAGGGTTTAGGGTTTAGGGTTTAGGGTTTAGGGTTTAGGGTTTAGGGTGGGTCTGGAGTTTAGGGCTTGAGGCTTGGGGTTTAGAGCTTAGGGCTTAGGGTTTGGTAGCCTCAACATAACGTTCCACGATCTCTTCATGTGGCCCCAAGGGTTGTGAAGTATGCCCTTGGGTTTGACAGGGTTTAGGGTTTAGGGTTTAGGGTTTATAATAGGGTTTATAATAGGGTTTATAATAGGGTTTAGGGTTTAGGGTTTAGGGTTTATAATAATAGGATTTATAATAGGGTTTAGGGTTTATAATAGGGTTTAGGGTTTAGGGTTTTATGAATAGGGCCCATAGCCAGGGGCCAGGTAACGGAAGGTCAGGGTTTAGGATTGAGGAGCCGGTCTCCAGGATGTCAGTAATGTAGCCGCCTTGGTGATTAGAATAGGTTTTTTTTTAATGTTGTTTTTATGGGGGGGGGGGTTATTCTAGAAATAAGTATATAGGGACCCTAAGGGAATGCTATTTGTTGAAGTTCCGACCCCTGTAGCATGTTACGTTCGGCATATGGGGCTAGTCCAAGGCATGAAACACATCCAGGACGCGGATCCCGAAACCCTCTAGTAATAAACCCTTTAAATCCTAAATGCTGAACCTGCTATTTTGTAGGGTTTGGGAGTCAAAGCCCCAACACACACCCCCCCACACCCCCCCCCCCCCCGCCCACCGCACAACAAAACAAAAACATAAAAACAGAAAAAGAAGAAACATAAAAAGCCCTGCGTCTGGGAGCTGTGGACTATGTATATTTCATGTTTGGCTTGTGCTGACATCTGGTGCAAACAAATACACACGCCCAACAAGTAGAAGCCGTTCGTGAAGCAGAGAAGCAGACAGCAGTTCGCCATCAGTTTCTCACTTCCCATCTTGTTTCTCTCTAAGATGTGTTCTCTCATCATAGTCTTTCTGGCCTCTTGATTAGCACTATTTTTTTAACCACTTGAATGTGAAAGCCTCCATATCAAACTCGTTCCCAAAGAGCCCAATACCCCTTAATACCCCTTAATGAAGGAATATTATATACCCTAAACCATATCAAGGATCCCTAATATAAATTAAGCAATACTCCCTAATTAAGGGATGTTGGGCTCTTTGGGTTTGCGGGTCCTCACGTTCCTTGCGCCCGAACATGACTCAAAAGGCCACAGCAACAGGGTTCAGGGTTTTGGGTTCTCGCCCGGCTGGACACACCCCGGAACCCTAAACCCTGACCCCTAAACCCTAAACCCTAAACCCTCAACCCTAAACCCTAAACCCTAAACCCCCCCAACCCCCACGAGCCACTCAGGCCACCCTCCAGAAACAGCAGCTGGATGATGCTGACGCGCACGCTCAGGCCGTGAAGGCCAACGAGGCATCGATGGGGGCAGTGCTCTACGTAAGGGTCTAGGGTCTAGGGTCTAGTGTCTAGGGTCTAGGGTCTGGGGTCTAGGGTGTAGGGTTTAGGGTTTAGGGTTTAGGGTTTAAAGGTTAGGGCCCCCCCCCTCCCCGGCAGGAGGCCTGCAAGATAGAAGCCCAGTTTTGGGGGGTTTTCGAAATTATGGGTACCTTATTGGGGCCTTGCTATAACTTGCTATGATCGGAGACTACCAAAGGTGACCCTAGGCAAAGGTGCCCCCGGCCCCTGCCACCGAACCCCCACCCACGGTTTGCCTGAAATGAGACTGTGAGCTGTGGGGCGAATTGTAGGGCCTGTTGGTGTGCCAATGCAAGTGGCGAAGTAGTGCGCAATGTTGTATTGTATATATTATATTACGTTTGGAAAAGTACATCTTCATTTACACAGCATGTGTGTGCAAAATCTGAATTTAGATGTGTTCCAAAGTGCCAAAATCACCTTTTTGTTTTCATAAAAGATGTTTGTTCAGTGTTTTGCGGGCCGAACTTCAATTTCTTTGTGCTCCATTTGGTGGCAACAATTACTTTTTGTTTTCAGAAAGAGACAGGCTTCCGTCCCCTGAAGCCCCTACAACCACAACGCCCTCTGTGTATGTCAATGCCCGGAGACCCTAAAACGCCCGTTGTATGTGGTGGGATCTTGTGGGGTTGAGACAAAGGTCTATGGGGTTCCTTATGCTCCCCCCTCCCCTCCCCCTCCCCCCCCCCCTCCCCTCCCCCTCCCCCCTCCCCTCCCCCTCCCCCCTCCCCACCCTTCCCCCCCCCCTCCCCCCGCTTGTCCAGGACAATGGGCTGTGAAGCTTTGGCCTGTGTAGCCCTGGGACAAAGTGTTGTGGCTGCAGGACAGTGGGCTGTAAAGCCCTAGGCTGGGCTGTATAGCCCTAGGCTTAGAGGGCTGTAAAGCTGTGTCCTAAAACCCGAAACCCTTAGCCCTAAACTCTAAATTCTAAACCCTAAACCCTGAAACCTTAAACCGGGCTGTGTAGCCCTGGCTGTATCCTAAAACAATAACCTTAAACCCTAAGCCCTAAGCCCGAAACCCTAAACCCTAAATCCTAAACCCTAAACCCTGAAGCCCCAAACCGGGCTGTGTAGCCCTAGGAACAATGGGCTGCAAAGCCCGAGGCCGGGCTGTGAAGCCCTGGGAGAAGGCTGTAAAGCCCCAAGCCCTAGGTGGGCTGTATCCGAAAACAATAACCCTAAACCCTGAAGCCCTAAACCACTGTGTTGCCCTTGGACAATGGGCTGTAAAGCCCTAGGCCGGGCTGTGTAGCCCGAGGAGAATGGGCTGTAAAGCCCTAAGCCGGGCTGTGGAGCCCTAGGCTTAGAGAAAGGGCTGTATCCTAAAACAATAAACCTAAACCCGAAACCCTAAGCCCAGCCCTAACCCGAAACCGTGAAACCCTAAACCGGGCTGTGTAGTCCTAGGACAAATGGGCTGTGAAGCCCTAGCCCTGGACAACGGGCTGTAAAGCCCCATCCTATTATCACGACATAGTAAGTAGGCGCTTGCTCAGGTCCGTCCATGCCGCGATCTCCACACAGCCAGCAGCAGCAAGGGCAAGCGCAGCCGGGGCCACAGACTGTCAAGAGCAGCGTCAGGCCTCACCTGCTCCCTCTTAAATTAGAGAACCTGGACGGCGCCAAACCCGACAGCCCCCATCGAAAACACCGCTTGCTTGCTTGCCCCCCCCCCAGCCAAACTGCTGGTACCTCCTCCTGGCGTGCCGGCCGCGATGGTGGTGGGTCTTGCAGCTACTCCAGCTTCCACGGGCCCAGCTGCACCTTGGCTTGTCGGATCTGGTTTTAACGAAATTCCAATCATCACATGTTGATCAGTTTTTGTTTTACTTCTGGGCTTCTTAGTTAATCTTGCTTCAACTACTTCTTCGCCCTGCAGCAGGGCGGACCACCAGCCACACCCCTGACACCACCTGCTGGAGCTCCAGCTCCTGAAGCAGCTACTCCAGCTTCCACGGGCCCAGCTGCACCTTGGCTTGTTGGATCTGGCTTTACTTAAACTTAAACTCCAAACATCCCATGTTGATACGTTTTTGTTTTACTTCTGGGCTTCTTAGTGTATTTTGCTTCAAGCTATTAAGGGTTTAGAGTTAAGGGCATATAGGGTTTAGGGTTTAAGCTGAAGAAGTGCTCAGGGTTCTGGGCTTCGGAAGTGACATCCTAAACTTCGAAACCCTAAATTCCTCACCCTAAGTTCCTCGGCCGCCCTGAACTTGAACCCCCTCAACCCTAACAGGAGGTGCTTAGGGCGTAGGGTATATTAGACTTAGGGTGTAGGGTTTAGGGCTTCGGGCTTATGGTTTAGGGTAAATTTAGGGTTCAGGGTTTAGGGTAGGGATCATGCTGTTGGGCTTCTAGGGTTGAAGCTATCCGGGTTTGGGGCTATAGGGTTTAGGCTTCAGAAGTGAGACCTTAGACTCCTTAGCCTAAAGCCTAAATTCCTCGAGGCCTAAACCCAAAATTCCTCCCTGAACTTGAACCCCTTCAACCCGTTAACCCCAACGTGAAAATCTGAGCCCCAAAGCTTCACACCCTAAACCTGAACCCCTGTGCCCTAAACCCCGAACACTACTAATTCCTAAGTCCCGCGCCTTATGTCCTATACCCTACTACCCTAAACTCCAAACCCCTAGAACTCCTGAGGGTGTTCTCGGTTCAAAACTTTTCTGATTGTTGGCACCACTTGGAGCAAAAATGTTGTTTGGCTGGCACGCAAATGCATTTCCCCTGCGTTTTCTTTTTCGTCGGTGTAAACTGATTATGCTGAATTCAGAGTTTTTCTATGGAGCCGGCCCGCCCATCTAGAAGGGGGGGGGGGGCATCTAGACCGGGGGGAGGCACAGGTCACCTTTCCCTAGATTCAGTTTTGGTAGTCTCCGGTATAAGGGAATCCTACTATTTGGGGTCTTTTTCGGGCTCCCGTATTTCGTAAACCCCCTGTCTAAAGATGACATCCCAAAAAGGGGACAGAGTTCCAAGTTGACCTAGCTGCCTTCAGCGGCTTCAGGGAGGCCTTACGGCTGTCAGGATTTTGTGTTGCTTCATTGGCCTCTTCAAAATTTTTGTTGTCAGCTGCGCAAGCACAAAGTACGCAAACAGGATCACGACTTTAACTCATGCACCCTGAAGTCTGGACCCCGGACCCTGAACCCTAAATACCTACTATGCCCCCCCCCCCCCCCCCCCCCCCCCCCCCCCCCCCCCCCCCCCCCCCCCCCCCCCCCCCCCACCCGCCCCCTATCTCACCCTTTAAAGCCTGTGCCGGACGCTTGTCAAGAAGCTTTCGAATCTCAAGGATGTTTGCGTTTGAGGCTCAGGGGTTTAGGGTACTGGGTTTTTGGGTTTTGTGTTCAGGGTTCGGGGTTTCTTCGGGTTCCCAAACCTCCACCGCCGGATGTGGCAGGAGCTGAGAGGACAGGTGCAGCAGGCGGAGGCCACGCGCAAGGTGATTGAGGCGGAGAGGGCTAGGGCTTTCAGGGATTCGGGTACCCAAAGCCTTCGAACCTTTGAATCGCAAAAACCCAAGTCCCCAAGCCCTAACCTTACTAGCTTACAACCTCTAAAACCCCGAACCCGCAACTTTTTGAATGCCGCGCTTGCTGGAGAACCATGTTGAGACCTCAAGCCCAGCTTTGTTCAAGCTCAGGCTACAGGGCTTTAGGGTTTGTGACTTTTGTTGGTTTTTGATTGTTAGGGTTTTTGGTTTTTTTGTCGGGTTTTGGTGCTGTGTGTGTTGGGTTGTGGGGTTTTGGGGCTTTAGTTTTTTTTTTTGGGGGGGGTTTGGAACAGAAAGGACTGTCTGTCTGGTTTCCAATCCAATCCGTTTATCAATGCCCTAAGCCCGAACCCCGTCCCACATTTTTTCTAATAAATATATAAATATACAAATATATAAATATGTAAAGATATAAATATGTAAATATATAAATATATAAATATATAAATATATAAATATATAAATATATAAATATATAAATATATAAATATATAAATATATAAATATATAAATATATAAATATATAAATATATAAATATATGAATATATGAATATATGAATATATGAATATATAAATATATAAATATATAAATAATATATAAATATATAAATATATAAGTATATAAGTATATAAGTATATAGGTATATAAGTATATAAGTATATAAGTATATAAGTATATAAGTATATAAGTATATAAATATATAAATAATATATAAATATATAAATATATTAATATATAAATATATTAATAACATATAAATAAATCAAGAAATAAATAAATAAATCAATAAATATATATATATATAATAGTAGTAATAATAATAAGAAGAAGAATAATAACAATAATAATAAACATGAATGAATAAGAACAAGAAGAAGAACCATAAACAGCATACCATCTAAATGAGTAAGCATCCAGAAGCAGCCTAGATAACAGATATCGCCACTTGACAGCCCACAGCCCAACAGGACAAGCTGGTTTCGCTTCAGGCCGGCGTCTTGGAAAGGGTTTGGGACGAAAAATGGTGGGAAATGCCTGTTGTTGTTTTTTTGGGGGAGGGGGGGTGGGGGGGGGTTAGGGCTTTAGATCTTATAGGATTTATAGCCTTTTGTTGTACTTAGGTTTCCAGTTTGGCCCACAGGGGTGGTAGGGCTTAGGTTACGGTTTGGGCTTGGCTTTCGGGTTGAGTTGAGAGTTGGTGCTTTTGAGGACTCTTGTTTTCTTGGAGATCTTGGGGTTGGGAGTGAACTCAGCTCCCCCAACCCTGCATCTAGAGACCCTAAACCCCCGACCTCTAAAGTGCCACTCTGTAAACACCCCTACTTGGAGGGTCATGGTATTTGGTAATCCAATTTTCTGTACTTGTAACCCGATTATGACCAGGGACTTACATGTGGGTTATAACTACACTTCTAATGGGTTACTAAGCACCCTGAACCATAGGGTTGTAATTACCTAAACCCCAAACCCCAAACCCCAAACCCCAAACCCCAAACCCCAAACCCCAAACCCTAAACCCTAAACCCTAAACCCTAAACCCTAAACCCTAAACCCCAAGCCCTAGTAGAAGTACAGCTAACAAATTGGGTTACTAAGTACCCAATGAACCTCCAAGCAAGCCCCCTGTTCCAGGAGTCTCAGAACTACCCCAAACCCATACCCCTTAACCTATAAAAGGAGAATATAGGGGCGTCTAAGGGAAGATTTTACCACACCCCCTATTTTTTTAGGGCCTAAACCCTAAACCCTAAACCCTAAACCCTAAACCCTAAACCCTAAACCCTAAACCCTACATTTCTTGGAAGGAGCAGCTGGACGAGGCCCTGGAGGGCGGAGAGCTGGCGCGCGCCGCCTTATCAGCCGCGGAGCCGCCCAGCTGCTCTGGTTAGGAATCCACACGGTGGTTTAGGGTTTAGGGTTTAGGGTTTAGGGTTTAGGGTTTAGGGTTTCGGGTTTAGGGTTTAGGGTTTAGGGTTTCGTTTAGGTTGGGCTGGAGGGTTTTAAGGGGCTTCCAAGGGGCTTGGGGTTGAAAGGGTCCAGGATGTCAGGGGGTTTTGGGGTACTTGTTTTGGGGGTTCCAATGGGTTTAGGGCTTCAAAGGTCTTCAAGCCTGTAGTGTAGGATCTTTCGGTTCCGGGACGGGTTTTGGGTTTCAGGGTCTAGGTGTTCAGCGTTTAGGCGTGAAGGCGTGAGAGCTCGGATTTGGACAAGGCTGGGCATTTCACCCCACTGACCTGAGCTTGTCCCCACTCATGGATGGCCGAGGCTGGAGGCAGATGAGAAGTGCGACCTGGATCGCTTTTGAGTTACCTGTAGCCCAAGAAGTTTCATTTGTCAGGATTCCTTTGTTGTGCTATCCTTATAAGCGTCCCTTCAGGTGTAGGTAGGGCTTGAGGGCTTGTAGCTCATCTTGGCATGAATTCACTTTTCTTCCCTTTCTCACATACCACATCATCTCTTCTGCCGCAGCTTCACAAGAGATGCCCTGCTTTCTGCGTGCGCAAGGCCGGGCCCTGAAAGAAGACATGGAGAAAGCTGCAGCGCAGCAGGTGGAACTTGCGGAGAAGCGTGCGGCCAAAGCCGCTGGCCTCAATTCACGGGCAGCGCGGCAGGGGCCCTGAAAACCGCCAGAGCGACCAGGCAAGTTGAGGACACGCCTCCCCCCTACATCCCCAAACCCCAAGCCTACATCCCCATTGGGAATTATTTTGTTTATAAACTCAAGAGGATCTTTAAAAACATATTATGGTTCTAAGGGGAGTCTAGAAGCTAAACCCTTTGGGGCCTAGGCCCACCAGCCCCCTGCAACCCAGGAGTACAATGCCCAGCTAGGGGCCAAGCAGAAGGAGCACGACAAGGAGGCAGCTTCTTAATTACAGCATTGTGGGTCCCAAAGAAAGGTGTTTCAGGTGAAAGAATGACATGGTACTTATTAACCAATTATCACGGTACTTCTCCAAGTACCGTAGCAGTGTCCCTCGAGTCGTGAGCCAGGTGGCCGAGCTGAAACAAAAGAAGGATGAGCAGGAGGCCACATGGGGGTTTACGAAACTAGGAAACCTGAAAATAGACTCACAAACAGTAAGATTCCTTTATCTTTCAGGACCCCCAAAAGGCACCCGAGAATTTCGGAAACCACCACTTCGTGCTGCGTTGTTTTCGTTGGAGATCGCAGGCGAAAGCAAAGGATCTGAGGGAGCGAATGAGTTTGCAGGCAGACACGTGCCTCGGCCGTAGCAAACTAGCAAGTACACAGGATATTGATCGATCGAATGCTATGTATAATATACTATTATGTATATACACACAACAACCTGTTGGGTTCTTGTCGTCTAGGGTCCATGGGGAGCGACCCGAGGAAGGGATCCGAGATCCCTTGGGACTGCACATTTTTTTGTGCATTGGGGGGGGGGGGGGGGGGGTTGGTTGTCTAGTGGCTCTACAAAGTGTCAGGTGCCACTAACAAACTGCTAAAGACCCCCCCAAAAACTTTGAATTGTTCTTCCTTCTGAGGGTAATATAGGGAGATGATTCTCTTTTGTATCTTGGGGAGTTCTTAAGCAAGTAGTAGGGTCTAATCAAGCGTAAACCCTCAACCCTCAACCCTCAACCCTCAACCCTAAACCCTAAACCCCAAACCGTTTCGATCTCACGAAGCCGCGGGAGCCAAGGATCGAATCTTTTCAAAAGAAGCTCGAGGACGTGGTCTCCACTCGCCTTTGCAGCCGTTGGATTTAGGGTTGAGGGTTTGGGGTTTAGGGTTTAGGGTTCGGGTTTAGGGTTTAACCCAATTCTTGCAGGTGACCTATAAGAATCAAGACTGAAGCCACTCATGGCAATCTGCAGAAATGTCAAGGGCTGAGGGCTTGGATTTGCAGTTTGTGACTAGTGCACGTGTCCCGTACCACTGCGACCCCGAGCCCAATCTTGGCGCTCAACCTTAAAGCCCGACACCTTGAGCGACTACATCGACAAGCATCCTCCAACATCTTTTAGGGCTTTGGGAGGTTTATGTAGGGTTTCGGGTTTAGGCTTTAGGGTATAACATGAGGGCCGAATTGTGAGTCATAATGTTTTGGGGGTTCAGGGTTGCACGAAACCTGCAGGACGCAAACGCCGCGAATCTGAAGCTCCAGGAGTGACTTACTACGATAGGTGTGAGAGTGCCACAAACACCCCTGAAACTTGGGATGATCCCCCTGATACTAACAGTCCTTAATAGCATCGGAGTGTTATAATTCATCCCTAGTAAGGACTGTCAGTATAAGGGCAAGCATCCCAACCTGAAACGAAGGCACCGCTCGAACCAAGCCCTAAAAACCCCCAAACCCTGCATCTGTTGCCAAGATTTAGGGTTTAGGGTTGAGGGTTTAGGGTTTAGGGCTTAGGGTTTAGGGTTTAAAACCTCTGCTTGGTGGGGTTTGGGCTTGAGCCATATGCGAGCGGAGTTGGGAAGCGGAGCTGGGACTTCGAAGTAGTCATCGAGTCAGAAAACTCGCCGGGCTAGAAGTAATTTCGGGATGATGGGTATACTGCATGAGCTTAGGGTTTAGGGTTTAGGGTTTAGGGTTTAGGGTTTAGGGTTTAGGGTTTAGGGTTTAGGGTTTAGGGTTTAGGGGGGATGGGTGGGCCTGAAGCCACCTACGCCGCCAACCCCCCTCACCCAACTGACACTTTAAGCCACCGGTACCGTGCACCCAGCCTGGTTTTCGCACTTAACTCTAAACCCCAAACCCTAGACCCTGAACCCCAAACCCCAAACCGCTTTTGGGGTAAAGATAGCTGTATATACAGATATAATATCGCCCTACCATCATTTGAAAGGGTCTCAGGTACTCGCCAACTAAGTTCCACGGGTTCTTTCTGGGAGTCGGGGGGTCCTCAAGGAAAGATCTCGGGGTCTTCCATTGGGATTAGGGTTTAGGCTCTAGGGTTTATTTTGGGGCATCTCTTTCGACAGTAGCACTTTAAGTGAATCATCTGGGTCCTTGAACCCCCAAACCCTTAAACACCTTAAGCCTATAAACTATATACCCTTAAAACCCTATAAAGCCTACAAAGCCTTCAAGCCCTGTAAACCCTAGAAACCCTTTAAATCCTGAAAACACTGTAAACCCCTAAACCCTGTCAAAACCCTAGAAACCCCATCAACCCTCTAAAAAACCCTACAACCCAGAAACCCTTTTAAACCCTACAAACCCTTCATGAACCCTTTAAAACCCCTAAACACACCCTACAAAACCTGTAAACCCTGCAAAAAACCCGTCAAAGCCCTACAAGCCTGTAATCAAACCCTTCAAGCCCTTGAAACCCCGTAAAGCCCTGCAAACCCTACAAACCCTTCATGAACCCTTCAAAAATCCTACAGAAGTAAACCCTACAAACCCTTTATGAACCCTTTAAGAGCCCTACATAACTAACCCCTGCAAAGCCTACAAACCCCAGTAAACCTGGGCAGGAGGAGCGCGCGAAGGCAGCGCTGAGACATGCCGAAGCGCTCGGCCTCAAGCAGCAGGAGAGCTTGGGCCGAACTATTGGGGGGGGGGGGGGGGGGGGGGGGTTAGGGTTAGGGTTTAGGGTTAGGGTTTAGGGTTTAGGGTTTAGGGTTTAGGGGGGGGGGGGCTTGATGGGCGGCTTGGGGTTTAGGGGTGTAGGGGTTTAGGGGTTTAGGGGTTTTAGGGGTTTAGGGGTTTTAGGTTTTTTATTGGTTTTAGGGGTTTTAGGGGTTTTAGGTTTCGGGGTTAAGGGGTTTTAGGGGTTTAAGGGTTTAGGGGTTCAGGAGGGGTTTAGGGGTTTAGGGGTTTAGGGTTTAGGGGTTTAGGGGTTTAGGGGTTTAGGGATTTAGGGGTCTAGGTCAACAGAAGAAGGTTTAGGTGTCAAAAATGTACATACCTTCTTGTGGCCAAGATCGAGAGCAACCCTGAACCCTTAACCCTAAACCCAAAAATCCCAAAGCACACAAGCCTCAATCCAGAAAAAGGAGCAAATTTCATCACTGGTTTAAGAGGATCATATTCAGGAGCATTTTCAGGTGGTTTTAAGTCTTAAGGGCCATCCTGTGAGCACGATGCACAAGTTTGCGACCGATGGGTCCTCAAAACTGCGTGAGGGTATAGAAGCGCGGGGGGGTCCCCACAAGACCTGGGAAGTTGGGGTTTAGGGTTTAGGGTTTAGGGTTTAGGGTTTAGGGTTTAGGGTTTAGGGTAAGTTTAGGGTTTAGGGTTTAGGGTGGTTTCGAGTTTGGGGGGTGCGCAATGCAGGGCATGCCAACAGTCTCAAGTGAAGATGCCAGCTGAGGCTTCTCGCCATGCAGGTGACATGTCAAGCCGAGCGGGAAGAGAAGGCAGCAAAGGGTTTATAGGGTTTATGGTTTAGGGTTTTCTGCCCGGTTGGTGCCCTTTTCCTTCTTATTTGGTTCAAGGGTGCGCTTATAAAGCAACCAACCCGAAAAAGGGTGCCCGTATTGGAATATGCTTACTGTGCTACCAAGGGGCGGGAAGGTGTCGTTGTAGGGTGCAGGGTTCAGCGTTTCGTGCTTCACAGAATTTAGGCACTACTTTTGATAAAGGTATCTCGGGATGTTCCCCCTTATATCCTTAATAGGGATTATAGTACAGCATAAGGGGGAGCATCCCAAAGGGTACCATGATCTGCTGTGCATATCTGAAGGGGTAGTCTCCTGAGGGTTGGTGGAAGTGGGCTTGACGGGCACTTCGAGGTCAGGGTTTCGGACATAGCGGTGTTTCTCGAGCCCTACCGAGGACTCCGTTTTCGTGTCCTCTTGGGGTGTCAAGCCCGGTTATGGCCTTCTTTTTTGTAGGGTCTAGGAGTCACAGGTTCTTTGCGGATGCTGGCAAGTGGTTGGGGGTTGAGGGTCGCTTGTCGTGGGTTTACTGATCATGCTGAGGTTTAGGGTTCTGCTTTCGGTTTTTCACAAACCTCAAGTCTGCACTCTGGACCCGAGAGGGTCTTGGAGCTTCTTCAAAACCTCGAATGCTATGCCCTGCAAACTTGAAGCCCTTAAAGACAGCAAACCCTAAACCCTAACCCCTAAACCCCTAACCCCCTAAACCCTAAACCCTAAACCCTAAACTAAACCCTAAGCCCTAAACCCTAAACCCTGAACCCTAAAGCCTAAACCCCAAAGGGGTTTCCGGATAGATGGCACACGTAAAACGACCATAAAAAGCCATCTTAAATGAAATTTAGACCCAAAAATAGGGCAAAAGGGTTTTTGGGCCCAAACATGCCCAAACACGAACCAAAGATGGCACTCGGGGCGGCCCTGCTCTTGGGTCAGCCACATAAAACATATCCAAACAACGAACCAATAGATGGCTCTTGGGTCGGCCGGGCTCTTGGGTCTGCATGACCCCCTTCACCCCCCGCGGGGGGGGGGGGGGGAGGACGCGCAACAAAATGCATGTTTGTATATATTTCTATAATGCCAAAAAAATATGGAAACATGTAACATGCTGATTTAAGTGGGGGTGTTTGTGGAAGAGCTTATCCCACCCAGCCCGGCCCCAGCTACCTCGCCTTGGACGTTGTGTTTTTCGGTCGGTCACGGCAACGTCCGCCAGCCGCCCTTCTCGTTGGGGTTTCCAGCTAGACGGCCGAAGGCGTCAGGAGTGGCCGGCCGGCCGGAGCAGGAGGAGCCTAGGTAGTTTCGCTTAGAGGTTGGTGGCTCCTCCATTTCAATGCAGCTGCTCAGCAGCTTGAATGAGAGCCTGTGCAAGCCAAAAACACCAGAATTTCTTGATTCTTGACGATTCTTGACTTGGACTTGGACGGGACGGGACGGCTGGCTTGAACTTGGACAGAGCCGAGGGCCGAGAGGTCGAGGGGCTGAGGCGGTGGAAGCCGCCTGGAAGTCCGGGCCGGGCCCGGGCCCAGTCAATTAATCGGCCGGAATTAATGGGACAATGGGACCGGACCTGGGACGGACGGGACGGGACGACGGTGCTCCGTGGGGTGCTCCGCGACGGCTTGACAGGCTTGCTCCATTTCCTCTTTTTCTATCACCGTAATCATGGTCCGGCTACTCTGACGACTGGTCAGTTGTTCCGGCCCTGTGGCCCTAAAACACCATGCCGCGCCCCAAATTTCAGCACGTCCCTGTGGGGCCTGCGATCGAGCCCCGCCGGCAGGTCGATTTTGCCCCTTCACCATGGGCCTGGGTGGCGCTCGTATCGAGTGTGCCCCGCGCTAGTGATTTGAAGCACTTTCGGGCTGATTCGGTGCCCCTGTGCGGAACCGGTGCCAAGACGGCGTTGAATCGGTGCCGCGGGGGCCGTCGATCGATCCGATCTACGGTCTTGAAAACAACTTTCGCGTGGGCCAGGCGGAGAGCTAGATTTCGAGCCGAGCCCACGTCCTCACAATCGCGCTCTTCGGTTCATGGGGGGACAGGAGGTCTGCCAGACCGGTGCGTTTTTAGGGTGCGCAAGTGTGCGGGATGAGGAGGGGTTTAGGATGGGGAAGGTGATGCTCTATGATGCTATGTTTGGCCCGTTTTGCTGGGTTTTCTTTTGTGTCGGGGCCGTCGGTCTTTGGGACGAGCGTGCAGTTGCCTTTGTGTGAACTTGAGTCGGGCCTGCTCTGAAGCCGCCATAGCCGCCATGGCTATGGCTGGCACGCGCTGCAGGCCACGCTGTGCACCAAGGAGTGTCTACGGTATTCGTGACTCCTGCATCCCGACGTGGCTTGTGAGGCAGGAGAGTCCGGACAGAAACAGCACTCTAAGGAGAGTTCGCCTGGGCCCGTGGCCGCGCCCTATGCGCCTCCGCGGTGTCCTATAGAGAGCGGCTCCTCCACGCCCAGGTGGTCGGGGGCACTAAGGGGAGACCATTGACTTGAAAAAAAAGCAAAGGATTTTGTTCGTAGAGGTATTCTAGTTAGGCCGGCCGATTTTTGCACTTATGTTTTGCTTGAGAGTGCTTTTGTGTGGTTTCCTGCCCTGGTTTCCTTCCTCAACCCTTTCAGGGCGTTCGGCGCCTTAACCCCTTCGAGCCCTCCTGGGTTGGCCCGTCCCCACCCACAGACAGTCCCCTCTACCCCCGCGGCCCTGTGAGTGGTTCGTGTTCCGCGCCCGCCTCTTGGCTCAGACTTGGCCAGAAGCAGCAGCGACTGGTTAGCCAGTGGGATTTTGTCACGGGTTCTTCGAAGCAGCAGCAGCAGCAGCAGCAGCAGCAGCAGCAGCAGCAGCAGCAGCAGCAGCAGCAGCAGCAGCAGCAGCAGCAGCAGCAGCAGCAGCAGCAGCCGCCGCAGCAGCAGCAGCAGCAGCAGCAGCAGCAGCAGCAGCAGCAGCAGCAGCAGCAGCAGCAGCAGCAGCAGCAGCAGCAGCAGCAGCAGCAGCAGCGCATCATGAAGACTTAAGATCTTGTCACGGGTTCTTCCCAGCAGCAGCAGTGCATCAGTAAGACTTGTAGCTGGTGGCATCTTGTGATGGATTCTTCGAAGCGCCGAAAGCTGGCAGGACTCGTCGCCGAGATGTGCGAGGGCGAGCTGCGACGTCAGGGCTTGTGGAAGGTGGAGGATGGAGATTTTGAGGTGGAGGTGGGGGTCTTGCGCGCTGTGAAAGCGGAGGTCCGGCAGACCCTGAAGTGCATCAGCACGGACGACATCAGCGGAGTGCTGGCGGAGAAGAAGACCAAGGCCGATGCGGAGGCCAAGAAGAGGGCCGACAAGAAGGCCGCCGCTGCATCATCTGGCCGTGCCTGGGCGGCGAACAAGCGCAAGGCTGAGGCCCGTCATGATGCTAAAGCGCGCAGGCAGGCGCCGCAAGGACTTTGAAGGGGTTGAGCTTGCTGATCTTGAAGTGACTCGTGCTGTTCTCCACGGCCGTGGTTCTGACAAGCACACCTTGCTCAGGAAGTCTCTGCAGACTTTGCTGACCGGCGCTGTGACTACTCAGCGAGTTCGTTTCCTCGCGGGCCTATCAGATAGCGCATGCTGTCCTTTCTGCAACAGTGGCGATGAGAACATGTTTCATCTCCTTTGGGAGTGCCAAACCTGGCAGCACATCCGAAACGACCTTTGTCACCTTACTCTGCAGCCTGTCCGGTGGCCGCCTGTGATGCGTCTTTGTGGGTATTATGTGCCTTCTGCCACTGCTTCGCCCCCGTTAGCAGTCTGGCACGAGGTCCAAGTTGTCCTTGCTCGGATCATTCAAGCACGCACGCAGTACCTCACCCGGCATGAAATGTTTGATGTGCATGAGCATGTCCCCGAAGATGTTGAGACACCTTGCCCCGAGCCCCCTGTCCCGGCTCCTGCCGCGCCTGTTTCCAGGGATTTCCCCTGTTCCGCCTGTTCTGTTTTCAGTTGCCGCTTGGGCGGCCTGTCCCTCTGGAGCCGCACTGCCCGAAGTTCAATCGTGGCGATGCCATGGCGTACAATTGGGGGAGTGACGTGTGGCACGCTCTCCGGTGCTATTGGTCTAAGGTTACGGTTCATCTTGACGCCTCCACCCTGCCTTCGTTCGAGCCCACCCCGTGGGTTGTTGCTGCTTGTGATGCCGCCCTTGCTTGTGGTTCTAGGCTGTTTGCCTGGGCTGATGGCGATGTGTCAATTTCCAGTTTGGTGCGCACCTTCAAAGGTGCTACGCGCAGATTTGCTTACTTGAGTGCTTGCCACCTTTTCGATAAAGACGGGCCCGACTCCAAGCGCCTACGTCCCTTGTGAGTTCCCGTCAAGGCCATGCAAGTCCACTGCTTGTTGAACCCCCATGCCGTTAATGCCTTAATGGAGCAGTGGGGTCGGCGCTGCCTGCAATTGGAAGTTGCGGCTGCCGATGCCGCTGTCCGCTGGTCTGATAAGGCTGCATGGGTGCCCGACTTTTCTCCTTTCGAGCGCGCCCGGCCCAGGAGATGTCGTGGCAAGACCTCTCCGTCTATAGTGTCCTGCATGCCGGACCCCTCGGCTGCTTCCTGTGTTCCCCTCCAAAAGGCTGCAGACTGTCCTGAGGGTGAAGTCCCTTTCGGCGCTAAACAGGCTGCGATGCAGATGAAGCGTCGCCTTGCAAAGCTTGCTGCCCATAATGAGGATGCCCGTGCCGGTGATAAGCACGTCATTGCTGCGGAGCGCCTCTTGGAGCGCCCCTCTTGTGTGCTCTGTGGGGAGGCCCGCCGCAAAGGTCACTGGTTGCGTCTTGCACAGTGTAAGTGCCAGAAGGCTACTGACGCTTCTGTCGTTTCCGCTGCTGTTGAGCGAGAAGCGTGTCACATCCAACGTGAGCTTGAACGGTTAGAGTCTGTGATCCGCACTAAGTCTAGTCGCCCGGAGCTTGTCAAAGCCCTTGCTGTTCAGAAACGCCAACGTGAGGCGTCCGCGCCTCTTGTT